CGTATGCAGAATATTGATAAGAAGGGATGCCAGGCGCATCAAGATTCAGATAAAAAACAACGAAAGTGGATCTACAAAACAAAAAAAGAGCGACATAAACTCTTCCTCCTCTTCACTCTCGCACATGAGGGCAGAGTTAGTCATGCTTGATGGTTAGAAAGAAAAACAAACAGACGGGAGCACAATGGACGATCAGTTCGGTCATGAGAAGCCGAACGTGAGTTGAGAAGACAGTTTCGTCGGTTGGTCGGTCGAAATTCAATTCGGGGTTGATTCTTGGTGATGGGTGACTGAAATTGAACGAAAAAGAGAATGGAATAGATCTGATGTGATCGGCAACTGAAAGCAGTTCATCCGCCTACACTGAAAAAGGCGATATGGTTTAAGGTGTTCCGCGTTTTTGCACAGACAAATCGTATTCATTTCATCGAAGTTAGCGTGCATTTTGTAAGGTGAGTCAGAAGATCTAACCAAGCACGAGGTGAACGAAGAAATGTCTTAGAATTTCGGCAATTGCACGACTCAGATTATGTAATTTACACACATTTTCAACCTCGGCGAACAGACGAAACTAAACAATTCATATTATCCAATCATTGAATCCTTCCTGTTCCCAGTTCGTCTAATGTTCGACTTTCAGACGCCAAACAACTTTCGTCAACCATATAAAATTCGCGATAACCTTGCAAAATGTACGGTGCGCTAAGGTGCAATCAAAATGTCTGTTGAGAAAAGAAAATGTCTTGCATCACAGGGTATTTCGTTTTCCAGTTCTCCAACACAATAATAGATCAAGTCAAGTCAAGTAATCGCTTTGTATGCTTTTTACTTATGTACGTATCACGTTAAGCATTTCACCAAGATAAACAATGATCACTGATTTTGCATCGGTCTCCTTATTTCCTGCCCATATAACTTATCATGTGGTTTTTCGAGTTTCGTCAATGCATCCAACAAAAATAGTTACGGGTGGGTGGCGTTCCAGATGTTTTAAGATCAAATCAAACAACCTGATCTATTTATCACTGTATATCGTGAAAACACTTATAGAATTTGCAATTTGCAAATATAAAGGGCTATCTAATTTTAATCCGGCTACAGGTAAGTGGTGTAAATTTACCGTATTGCAGCTCGGTGGTTCAAATCCTGCTGCAGACCCCGTCCTAAACATTTACGTCACTTCTGTCGTCCATGAACAACGTGTCAGTGAAACGAATTTAAAAGGGTTTCTAACCCTTGAGTTTCGTAGGGTTTATACAACATCTGATGCACTTTTGTGGGGTCACAAATATCGATCGTTATGGCCTATTCACTAATACCAAATTATCCGCAGGGTACTTCTGCATAGTACATTGCATGTTTCCGGAAATTAGTGGTTTTATTTCAAATTTTAAATTCTATGCAAAACCAGATAACTTTCAGACACAATGGTGCTACATGCCGTACTTACAGACTGCAAAAATATACTCCGGCATCAGTCGGACATGGTAATCCTACAGAATCAAGGAGCACCGAAGCATTTGAATACGCAGGCAACTCGCCCTGGGTTAGTGATTAGGGGCGGATAGTACTATATGGAAACAATCACGGTTCCGCAGACTCCTCGGACGAGAATCCACCGTCCATGTCGTCAAAATCTTCATCATCAAACTCCGGAAAGATAGGTTTCAGATTGGACGAGTCCACATCACTTCCACTATCCCCTGGTGTCTGAGCGATTTGACTGACCGACTGAGTGGAACCGGAATTGGCGATCGGTTGGTGTGGGATTTGTGCCTCACTGCCAGATTTTTTGATCTTTTCTGAGGGGGAATTTGGTATTTTCTTGCGTCCCATGCTATTCAGCCTTGTTTCCATCTCGTGTATACGGAAGTGCAGTCGCCCCTCCAGACTGTATCCCTTGTAACTTCTGTTTAAAAGATATGTAGCAAAATACAGGTAGAGTTCAGTTATTTTACAAATGTTACTTTACTTGAATTTATCCACTAATCTCGCTTGATATTTTACTATTAACTTGAGAGATTTAAAGAGAGGAACCAGTATAGCAACACTACATAATTGATATCCTGAACGATCTCGTTGTACTTTAGACAGTGCCTATGGCAGACAAATGCACTGTTTGCATAGGGATGGGGAATCGATCACAAGGCGAAGCCAGGGTGATGAACAGGTCTTTTTGTTTACACAATAGAGGTATCCACCGTTTGATTGCAATTATGTCGGTGATCTTGGAGATTCCGGTGGATCACCAAAGTTATTTCTTTCAGTCAGCGAGGTGTTGAATCATCAACTTTTGCTTGGCAATCGAGGATCTCTGTGATTTGTTTGCACAGCCCTTACCAGTCACCGGCTATGTTGACCTCAACATAGCAACCTGAATTCACACCCTGTTTGGAAAGTCTTTTTATTCCGCACTCACAATGGAAATGCTGTGTTTGGACCACAATCAACGTTTTCCGATTTGGGCAAAGTAACCGTAATGAGGATATTTCATTCAAAATAGTTGCGAAATGAAGGGAGTAAAAATAAAAATACCATGGTTTATAATGATGAACGGAGTCTTGGGCAACATTGAGCATATGATGAATAGTGCTGGCGTTAACTAACACCACTGTCAAGAATTTCGATGTTAACTATCAGCTGTTTTTTCCTGCACATTGAGTGAATTAGATAATTTCTTTATGAGTTATGTGCGTGATATTGAAATGAAGCGTAAAGCGAGAAGCTAGGCAGCAATGTACGGCTGTTTCGATTCGATCTGATTCAGTCTCATCAAATACGCTTATCGGGCGCTGGTGGTCCAGTGGTAACGTTACCAAATTACCGCCCGGGAGACGTCTTTTGGAATCCCACCGCTACCGCCTGACTGCCCATTGTGTGTTGAATGGCAGCCCTTTTGATTGGGGCGCGGTTCTAAATTCTGTCGTGGTGCGAAAAATTTCTCAGAAATCGAAAAGGAAATCGAAATAGTCTCGCTGGAACAAAACCGAAGTGCGTATCTAAATGACTTTTACAGGCCGTAACGGACTGTGAGAGATTTTCGAACAAACGTTTCGGTAAGTCCCCACGTGTCTGATCTTGTGATTATCCATGAGATTAATACACGTTTTGTGGAATTTAAGTCCTCGATCTTAAACGTTGAACTTCTTTCGTAACATTAAGCGCGGAGGAATGTCAACATCAGAATTCTGCGGTGCGCAGAAATCTAAAAAGCCAGTCTCCAACGGCATATAGTGCGACTGTTGTGGCTACTGGTATCATCAGAGCTGTGCCCGCCTAGATAAAAGAATGTATGAGATATACTCGAGTAATTCAGCGCTCCAGTAGATATGTTACCTGTGCGTAGCCATGGCAGAAAACACTACTAGTAAGCGCACTACTATGACGCCCGAGCCTAGCGGTACAGACAACCGTGACCGCAACACTCATCTCGATCAGACGCAATCGATCAAACGTCTAGAGCAGAGGATTGCTAGCCTGGAGACCGAAGTGTCTGAATTGAAACTCGCCAAAGAACTGACGACGGGCCGAAATAGGAGCGTCCTCATTATGAACCACGAAGACCCGTTTATAAGAGACGCGAAGGTCCGAGCGGATATTGACGGTCGAAGAGTCTGTGATATACTTAGAACCGCAGGGTTACCCGTGTATGCACTCATACATAGAGTTCAGAGGATTGAGAGATGGAGAAAAGAATGTACACCAGGTGCCAGGGTTGCTAGACCCATTCTAGTCGAGTTCGGAAATCCCAATATTAGGGATGTGCTACTATGCAGTAGTGAGAGTACAAAGAGCTACCGGGGGTAGATATCGAATTGCACCAGATAACTTAAGTCGCATGACTAAACGACCCCTGGTGGACGTCCGTCCAAAAGTGGATCAGCCGCAACCAGGAAAAGGTGTACCCGTAAAGAGAGACCCCAAAGGTATTCAAACCCAAGCCTTGGTAAAGGTTCACAAAATAAAGAGAGCACCGAGTTATTCTGAGGTCGTTGCATCCACTCCACGCGTAGGCAGCCCTCAAAATGTCGCACCCATCAGCCCAGGGCATCATACGCTAAATGGAAAAATGCAACCGAGAACGCCAAAAACCAACGTCAAACAAAAGCCTAGACAACTGAACCCGCTACCTATAACACCATTTCCCTGCACTAAGGGGGGGGGGTGAACGGCAGACAGAACATCACCGGGGTAAACGAGGAGCGAACAAGAAGACTAGCGTAAAAGCGATCGGGAGGATAAAAACTCCACTGAAGGAGATTTCAGCCAAAGATATGAATATAATTGTAACCCCTGTCTCCACTTCTAGGTGTACGCAAATCCCCGAAAATAAGAGTCCAAGGGTTGATATAAGAAAGTCGCGGGTAGCAGCTGCTTTGCAAATCAGTCATGGTAGCGTTCAACTGGATATAAATGAACCGGAATCGGACTGTGAGAGGGCAGTAATCGACAGGATGGTTCAGCCAAAAAGAAATAATCATGAGGAACCGTGCAGTAAAGAAATCAGCTTGGGAGTAAATACCGGGGGAAAAAACGTGCCGAGCCCTCGGGTGCTACGCCCGAGGGAACTCAAAGAAATTGGTCTAAACTCAGAGGCCCCAGCACTGAAACAAAGAAGTGTGGAAACGTGGTATACAAACTTCTGCAGTGTTGGAAATAAGTGGGGTAAACTGAAAACCAGATGACGTAGTCATTCTGTCCGAAACATGGTTGTCACCAAGGCACGTCATAGATCACCTTATGCCCCTGAACTTTGCTGTGTGTAGGACAAACCGGGAGGTAGGTAAGGGAGGCGGAGTATTGATTCTCGTGAAGAATCAACATGCTCTGTGAGAAAACACTGAACTGAGACTGTGCACACATTTAGCACGTCACTTAGGAAAACGACGAAGACGAAGATAGTTGGTGATTTTAACCTGCCGGAAATCGATTAGGAATGCGCTGGCTCGGGAGATAGTCCCTCTGAAGAGGAGTTCCTAAGGTTTTTCCACGAGC